AATCAAATCAAGTTTTATTTATAAAGCACATTTAAAAGCGATTTTTGGTCGAGCCAAAGTGCTGCACATGTAATAAAAACACATTACTACAATCATGATAAAAGACAATAAATTACAACAGATATATAAAAAACACAGGGAAAAGTCAAGAGTCGTGCTCCGCTCTGACTAAAAGGCCAGGGAGAAGAAGTGTGTTTTAAGAGTAGATTTAAAAAACCCTAGGGTCTGGGCCGACCTCACATGGAGGGGCAGAGTGTTCCAGAGCCTAGGGCCAGCTGCTGCGAAGGCTCGGTGCCCTCAGGTTTTGAGCCTGGTCTTGGGCACTACCAGCAGCAGCTGGTCAGTAGACCTTAAAGCTCTGGCTGGGGTGTAGCGCTGGAGGAGTTCAGCTATATAGGCAGAAGCCAGCCCATTTAGTGCTTTAAAAACAAATAAAAGGAGTTTAAAATCAATTCGGAACCAAATTGGAAGCCAGTGCAGTGAGGCCAGAATTGGGGTGATGTGGTCACGCTTTTTGTGGCCAGTCAGAAGACGTGCAGCTGCGTTTTGGACTAGCTGCAGGCGTTTGATTGAGGCCTGGTCCATACCCAGATACAGAGCGTTGCAGTAATCCAGTCTTGAGGTTACGAAGGCATTAATAACCCTTTCTAAGTCTTTAAAAGATAAATATGACTTGGTTTTGGCCAATAGTCTTATTTTTAAAAAGCAGGATTTGACTACGGTGCTGACCTGCTTGTCGAATTTAAAAGTGCTAGTGAAGGTAACTCCAAGGTTCATGACAGAGGGGAGGATGTGTTTATTGAGAGCCCAGAATATCAACCAGAGAGGCTGGAGGTTGGGGTCCAAAAAAGATGACCTCAGTCTTGCTCTCGTTGATGTTGAGAAAAGTTAATGCTCAGCCACGATTTTATCTCTGTTAAGCAGTCCATCAACTGCTGTAGTGAGTGTTTGATATTTGCTTTGAAAGGCAGATAGATCTGTACATCGCCGGCGTAGCAGTGAAAGGGAATATTGTGTTTTGTTAGAATTGAACCTAGGGGCAGTATGTACAGTAAAAAGAGGATGGGGCCCAGAATAGAGCCTGTGGGAACCCCACAGGTAAGAGGGGCTTTGGCAGAGGAGAAGGCACCTAGCTGCACTGAGAAGCTAGCAGCATTCTAGTAGACATCAACAATGGAATTATGATCAGAAGAAATGGCCATGTCATGGGACCTTTAAGTTACACATCTGACCGAGTACTTCTGGTGTCAGGTACTTACACAGGTCTGCCTGCCAGGCTGGTGTGCACGTGCTGCTGGAAGTCTGGGTATTTGGACGCCAGGTAAGCGAAGTCCGGAGGTTTGTCTTTGTAGCGGTTTCGGGGGTGCATGGATTTATTCAAAGCCATGATGAGAGCTCTGATTTCCGGGGGAGAGAGACATGACACGAGCCAGGGTGAAGTAACAGCAACAACAGGCGCAAATTAAATATAAAATCAGACCGATAAGAGAAAAAACAGAACTTTGTTATTCAATTAAGGTTGCCTTTGAAACAGGGTGTTACATATACACATGAAGACGTGTCTTTCCTGACTGAGATGTGGGAAACAACTCGTTTGAAGCTAATTTGAAGCAGCATGCTAATCATTTAAGCTAATGTGTAGCTATAATTTGTGCCTGCCTACCTTTTATTGTGGTATTATCCGTGTTGTGTTGAAGCCTGTTATTACTTTCAGACTGGTGGTGACTTTATTTGACTAAACGACTGTGTGGAAGAAGATCTCACAGCTCTGTAAACTCACGTTGTCCAAACGATGTTCACTTTTCTGTGCCTCTCTTCCGTGATGCTTGCGACGTCACCTCACTACGTCATGACGCCATGAACAAACTTCCCGTGTGTGTGAAGTGAATGTGATAAACTCCAGATTAAGCTACAATACAACTTTAGCAATAACTTTAGAAAAATGCAGTTACTTAAGTTATTCGTTTATATTATATCATTTATGTTGACACCTTACATGTTTTGTTATTTATTTTTGTTATTTTGTTATCCTGTTATTTGTTTATGTACCTATACATCTGATCTTACTGTTTCAGAATCAGAATACCTTTATTAGTCCCACAGAGGGGAAATGTGCAATTCGTTTATTCGTACCCGTACCATAGTATAGGGATAATTAAGTAGTCACTCACCTCTTACACAAAAAAATATTTGCAATGGTTTTTTTTTCAAATACTATAACACTACTTCAACTTTTCAGATTAATTGGGAATGCTTTATTTACATTTCTTCATAAAAATACTTATCATACCTTCAAACTCAAAAAAGGATATAAACATTAAAAAAAAACTTGACCAATAATTTATTTTTTCTTAACCGTTATTTTATTATTAAGCTTTGATTGTGTCTTGCTATAACATGACAATTTTTAATATGTATGTTGAATGTAAGTTTCTTTTGAACCATTTAGTTTTGGGGAAAAAACAATGCAATGAATCCTTCTTTCTAAGTTTAACCATAACTATATATACCCCACTTCAAATGAGCTGATGGTGTATACTGGTGACATTACATTTAACTCAACGTTGTCAGCAATACACTCCACCTTCAGTATAATAACTAAGAATAAGCAGACGACACATTTGCAGATTTTATTATTTTATTATATCGCAAACAATAATGACAACCAGGTATATTGTTAACAGTTTGCTGAGTGAAGAGTGAGACCTTAGTGGTGAAAACATCACAAGCTCTACTGGAGGAGCTTGTTGTGAAGCTCTCGGCTGTTTCACAGGCAGGTAACAGAGGACAGGTGAGCAGACGACCTGCAGACAAGGTGTCTGTCGGTCCTTCACACCAGACCACAGCACAACAAGGATTGCTTTGGACCTGCGGATGGTAGAAGTGGATTTTCTTCAACACTTGCCTACAACACCAGCAGCAGCTGTGTTGTAGCTTTTTCCTCTGATTCTTACAAAAGAAGCAGAACACACATCGTCCTGACCTTTCATTTAACACCTTCCTTGGGTAAAACCAAGGAAATGGAAAACGTTTTTAATTTACATTGTATGGTCTGGTATGTCATAGCGTGATCCTAAGGAGACTAGTCATTATCAACAACAAAAGGAGGCTGATTTCTCAAGCTAAACCAGATTTTATTGACACGTCTCCATTTTTGGCTTCAGCTAGAACATTTAACATATTGGCATCTTCATTAGTCATGCCAATGTACTACAAAATGAGCTGATTCCCCACCCAAAATCCTTGCCTCAGAAGTTAGGTCAGAGAAAAACGCTTATAGAAAAAAAAAACCTCAAGGGGGCACACATCGAAGGGAGACATGAGTTATATTCCCTGAAAGAGAGAGCTTATCCTTAGGGACATCCTAGTCTGCCACAATCCCATTGCATTTACAGAAGAGGACGTAAACCTCCTTCAAATAGCATCACACAACAAACCAACAAACAGAGCTGTCTGAACTCCTCAAGCCAGCTGGTACACAGCAATGTGAGAGCAATAGTTTGAGATTTGGAGAGAATCGCTTATCAGCTTGCTTGCCAAGAGTTGGGTTTTTAGGAGATAATTGATAACACTCACACTAAAGCTTAAAACTGGTTCAAGTTGAGAAATAGTCACATAGGTTAGTCAGCTTATAAGAACAATTTTACTTTACTGATGACTTTCTTAAGCTTTTCTTAAAAGTAATACCTTATGTTAACAATTTCTCTTCAAGACATTCATTTCTGAACTTTTTGTTGCTGGTATTGCTGGTTTATGTTATGGTATTGTGTGTTGATAAAGCCAGGCTAGTATGTGTGTTAAACTACGCAAACTGGCTTAATATTTACGAGTTCAAGTGTTTGTTTTCCAGCTCAGTGTCATCTGAATTTGACACATTAAGGAGACCTTTCAAACTGTTTTATGCTCACAACTACGTTAACTGTAGATCAAATGTTCAATATTTCCCAGTGTCAATTTGTTGAAATCAACTACAGCTTCAAGCATGTAACACTTAAAATGATATGCCCTCACATTTGCAGACCAGACAATTTTTTTAGTCTTGATTTACTGATATCTCTATTTTTCTATTTGAATTGCAAAGATAGCCCTCACCAATCTCCCACAATGAGTGGTATCAATAATCTTATTTAACCAATGCTAAGCAAGAGAGCCAATCAGTATATCTCCTTATAATGTAGAGCTCATTTAAGTACAGTTTCTGAGCTCACTATTCAAACCAATCGGCCTCTGATCCAGTCTTTAAGCTTTTTAAAAAGCATTGTTCCGACAGCTTTGCCTCTGGTGCAGGTTCACATGCAGCGGTGCTACATCAACAGGTCACATTAGACTCACAGCCACTAGCAGGAGCTTTAGCAGCAGATCAACACATCCGGTACACACAGGAAGAGGAAAACGTGGCAAAGAAGCGAACATAAGGACATCAGTTAAGCAGTGGATTCTTTATTAGCCAAGAACTGCATTGGAATGAAAAGGCTAATCAGAAATTAATCGTTTATGCATTTATCAACATCATTCAATTTCAATGTTGTCTTTGATCATCATTAAAGGACCAAAGATTTAGTGAAAACAGGGATGTGCAAGATTAATGAACCACCTTGTCAGCAACAGTTAGAAGCAAGATGTTTCATTTTTCATCCTCCGAGGAGAGTGGAATGATTTTTTTCTACAGCTTGGACTGGTTTGGTTATCATCCAGTCTTTTAGTTACAGCTCCACAAAGATCAAAAGCTGAATATTTTTAAGGAAAGCCACTCGGACGACGTTTGCATATATGTGAGATGGGTTTGTCTGCAGAGATCCTCGCTGCTCGGGCTCTAAGCATTTCCTCCGTATGCTGGCGCTGCTGCTGCCTCTTTAAACAGCGAGGAGCTCTTTACAACAAAGAAGCATCAGACCGCTCTACAGACAGAAACACCATCCACATATCACTTAGCATCTGCTAGCATTTCCACACTAATCCTAAATTCCCATCCAGTTCATCCTTTAGTGCGATAATACAAAATTGCCAAATCCTAATAACAAGCTAAATTTACATTTCATATTTTCACAGAAAACTGACTTTTTTAAATTTATTTTTACTCAAAACCATTTTTATTATGCAGAACATATCTTTCCCCCTCAGAAATTAGAGATCTTTGCACATCCCAGATATCTAACCCAGGGGGCTCACTGACTCCTCGTCATGCCTTCAGCTTTTCTCTTTAGCGGGTTTATTTTACACAAGGCTTCCGTTTGTAGGCTTCAGGTGCCGCGGGACAACTCACCATCTTCTGACTTTACATAATTCCTATGATACACCGAACCCTGCCGAGACTTCGTGCTCAGCGGACTAGTTGTGGCCAGAGGCTTCAGTTCAACAAAGAGTCTCACATGCAAGGTCACAGGAGATCTGTGGGCCTTTATCAAGTGCTGGAGATTAATCAGGAGTAATCCCTTAACTCTGTTCAGTTGATGCTGTGACACCGACAGCACAACACAAACAAACTTGCTCTCTACGTCGGGCTTACTGTGAAAACTAAGTGCGGTTATTCACAGAGCCACTTGTTTGCATTTTAACTTATTCTTCGCTGTAGATTCCTTAAATGGGATAATTTATCTAAAGCCTAGCAGTGGTTTGTTTGCCACCCTGACAAGAGTACAACGCTGTTTTAAAGCCCCCGAGGTCCAAGGACAAAAGTTTGAAACATTCGTATATACAGCCATTAAAATATTACCTAGTTCCACATGAAGAGAAATGGTATGCACACTTGAGAAGTGATGTTATAAAGCTACAGATTATTTCAATAACAAAGCCCCACAGACAATCGCATCATATAAGCCTTTTCCAGCCTCGTCTTTCCGAAGTTTCACCAAGCGAGGCACCAACAGACTACGACAGTGAAGGAGAGAAAAAACTGAAAAAAAATCCTAAATAAAAAAATAGACAAAAAATAAATCTTACACATAAAGACACTGTCATTTCTTAAATTATCGGTTTTTAGTGCCCTACATTTTACACCCAGTCAAAAACATCTGCCTTCGGTTGGTCGGTAAGGCTGCGTGACAGACGGCCAGCCTCGTGGTAAACCTATGGTACTTCTAGACGTTATGTAAATTTACAGTATACAATTTTGGATTACCATGCAAGAATACTTTTTTGTGTAACATTTAATAGCTCGATCTACATCCAGGAATAATTTACATAGAAGGACAATAGTTATTGGACCAGAGAGTAAATAACCATGGTGTAAGTGCAGCCGGAGGAGATGATGTGCAGGGTTAGGTGAGGGGGGAGGGGGGGGGGATGAAAGAGGAGGTGGGATGGCAGGAGGAGAGGTGGGATCCAGAGGAGCTCCTGGGAAATTGGGGGTGTTGGTCCAATCCTCCAAGGTCCAAATCAGCGACACTCCCACACTTTTACTGTCTGATCTACGCTGCCAGTGACCACGTAGGGAGCAGCCTTGTGGAAATCTGTGGGGGAAACAAAAGATCATCAGAATAAATAAAAAATAATAAAAATGCATTTAAATAAAACTGAGTGTTCCTCAGAGAGCAGCGTAACGGCAGATTCTGATTAAAAACCAGTGTTTTCTCTAGACAATAGCTAGTGAAATGTAAGACTTTGAGACCAAATTAAATTCAAAACCTGTTTAATTTGGTGGTCATACACTGTCAGAAAGAAAAGGTACAGTACAGGTACATTTTTGTTCTTTTAAAAAGGTACAATCATGCTCCTGTATGGTACTAATAAGTACCTTTTTCAAGTAAAAGGTACGCATGAAATATGTATTGCTGAAAAGGTACATAAGTGTACCCTTCACATAGTGAAAGCCAGCCTGCGGTGGCTCTGCTCACTTTATTAAGTTTTAATATTTGTTCAGGGTTGAAAGTAACTGAGACTGCCAATGTAGATCACCAATAAGTGGACAGTTTATCAAAAATAACGGGCTGTTTGTAATTTGTTGAGGTATTTGAACGTATAGCCTCCTTGTTGAAACGGTTGAAACATGGTGAATAGACTGCTCCACACAGCTCTGCTGCAAATACCTTGCTGTTTAAAAAAACATTTTTTTTTTTAATTTTTTTTACAAGTAGGCTATTTCACTAATTTCATGAATGATATGTGATAATAAACTTGGTTTAATTTAATTTTAATTATTATTGCTGTGCTTCGCTGAGAAATAGACGTTAATGTTACACAACACCTGATTGGTTAAGAGAGCTAAGAGCGGGAGATAATCTAACGGTCATATTTGGCCAGACTTAAAGACTCCGTCTTTTCAAAAGACATCATTGTTACATGTAACATGGCGAACAGTGGGACAACTTCTACCTTGACCTGTCTATCCACTAGTGATATTATCACCAAGGTAGTAGAATATGGGATAGAAGTAACTGAACTGGAAGCTAGGAAATTCAGAGGTAAGTGAACTTTACCTTCATTCATGACTAGTCAAGTAGCTAACATTTAGCTAACTAGGGCTAATGCCTTTCATGAAAAGACCGGGGAGATGGTATCTAACGCTAGCTAGCTCCATAGTCCCTGGAGAACAACAGAATACTGCCGGTTAAATGTTTTTGAATGTATTGGTCATAATGCATCCGTGTGTGAAGCTAACTAACGTTAACGATTTTTGCCTGTGCTCACTTTTAAAAAAGGTACAATATAGTACAATAAAGTGACAAATGTGTACCTGAAAGGTAAATATAGCCTTGTCACTGGGGTGGTACCCTAAAGAGACACATTTGTACCATTTCAGAAGGTACATATTTGACCCTTGAGGTACATACAAAAGGTACAATGTACAAGGGTACAACTTTGTACCCATAGGTTTTGTACCTTTAGGGTACCACCCCAGTGACAAGCGTTTGTACCTTTTTAAGGTCTTTTTCGTACCTTTTTTTCTGAGAGTACTGGCAGAATTATGAAGAAAAGTTAGTAGGAATGATAATCCTGTGACACTGCCAGTGTTTAAATCAATATATGTACAGACAATATCTTTTTAGACTGTGTCTGAAAAGGCTCCATACCTCTGAATCATTGGCCAGATCTCATATTTTTCCAGCAAATAAATCAAATATTAGTCACTGATGGCTATTTTACAGTCTGAGAGTAAATGAACGCTCATACAAACACCTTAGGAGAAGCACTTGGTATTGTGTTGTTCATACACACTGGACAATGCTTTGTAGAAAACGGGGGAAATACTTTTTTTTTTCTCCAATGGTTTCAAACAAAGGTGCTTTGTTTTTTCAACACTGCTCCAGAATGCATCACATCAATAGCTCACAGCTATATCCTCTTCGGTTGATGTAGGATTTAAGAAGACTGGGTTTCAAACGGCTTGCCAAGGAAAAGTTGGCGGAAGAGCTCCTCGAGAGAGTAACGGAGCCTTGATCTGCTGAAGAGCTGCAGAGACCGGGGGGGGGAGGGGGGAGAGAGAATCCTGCAGCGATGTCTACCTCTCAAACCCCAGCTGCCCACTATCCTCAGGACGCTCAGCAGACTCAACACAGGGGCTTCTACACATCATTCAACCTTTGGCTAAAGCAGATATCTGTGCTCTACTGTCCAATGAAGGTGGACTCCTGTTCCTGCTGCCCCTCAGGAGCCCAACTGGTCCAACAATAACAAAGATGGAGCTCATATCATTTATTTTAGTAATGCTTACCCAGAGAGGTAACAAAGTGTTCGTGGGCACCCAGGGTTTTCATGCAGCGCTTGTTCTTGTAGTCCCAGATCCTTAAGGTCTTATCGTCTGCACAGGTCACAATGAACTTGCCTCCGGGGTGGAAGAGGATACCACGCACCCAGTTATCATGGCCAACCTGGGAAGAGAAGAAGACTTACTGCTCAAGACACAAGCAACTATTTCATCTTTCTTATTGAAGCTAAGTATTTTCACTGTAGACATTTTAACCAGATATTTACATTCACAAATAAAAAGGGTTAGCATAAGGTGGTCCTCACCAGTGTCATAAGGCACATGCCGATGCTAACGTCCCACATCTTGATTGTTTTGTCTCTGGAGCCAGACAGCAGGAAGGGGCCTGGCTTTCCACTCTTCTTGGTCTGTGGAGGAACAAAGAGGGAACACATTGAGCAGCCATAATGGTGAAAAACGTATACGTAGTACAATCAAAAATGTGAGTAATCTCATCAAATCCTCAGTCCCTGAAAATAAAGGGAGAAATAAAGCACACTTAAAATCCACTCCTAGTGGGGGAAGAGAGATCCGCTTAAATAAACGCATCCACTGCGACATTTACCACCAAGTACTGTGAACACAAAGATGTTGGCACGCTGTACTAAGCAAACTGGAACTAACCGTCATTACATGCCCGATGGTTTTAACTGCATCAGTGGACATTGTGTGGAAATAGGGAGGCCGGTGTATCTAAGCAATAGCTGCAGAAAATGTGGAGCTGTGTTTCACAGCTTTGGTTAGCGCAGTTTTGAATGAAGCAGGAATAAAGCAATGTGGAAATTGGTGATCAATGAATGTTCTGCATCTTAGGCCGGTATCACATACATAAAGCAAGATCTCTTCTTCTTTGACCAAACATAACCTTGTTTGGAGTTGAAATTGAGTCACCGTGTTTCATGTATTTCTTTTTCAAAGTATTATATTCATCCTTTACATATGTACATTTTCATTAGTGTTTGTGCTGAAGTTTATTCCAAATACTCCATGTACTGTTGTTTGTCTTGTAATGAACATGTGGCTTTAAAGTTTATTAAAAGCAGCAAAACCAAAGAGAATACCTGTGGGTGTTTTGGGAATGTTTCAATAACCAAAACACCAGAAATCAGCTATTGTATAAGCGGAAGAGTTTATACTGGGCCAACTGATACAAGAGCAAATATTGTGCTAATGTGACGAGGCTAAAATGGGACAGGCCTGAGATCACAAGGCATGAGGAGGGAGTGCTGCCTCTGGGCCGCACTGATATACATTCAGATTATTCAAACGCACTCATTTCAAGCTGCTCTGTTCAGTCTGAGGCGGGACGTATGACACTCTTCATGGCTGCGCATGTAGAGACGAAACACTCTGCGTCATGGGACAGTGTGAAACAGTGTTCAATGCTGTGTGAACACTGAACATGGCCATCAGATGACCTGTTGGCATGCAGTCACTTTAGTATGACCATGAGCTCCGTCACCACGCTTCTTTGTGTGTGACGTTTGAACAATTGAGTCAATCCATCCTTACTTATAGATTAGCTATCTAACCATTTTACATGTGCAGAGATCAAGAGATCTGGGGCCTCATTTATAACGTTGTGCGTAGGATTCACGTGGGAAGGTTGCTTACGTAGTAGAAATCCAAAATATAGGTACAGAAATTTTCCGACATTTTCCGATTCATCAAACATTGCGTACCGGTGAGGAAAGTGCGTACAGCACTTCCTACGCCGGTTTCCCTTTATAAATCACAATCGACTCGAAATGCGGTGCAGCTTTTGCGGGCTTCACGTAACGCCCATATTTGCCTATAAATAGTCAAAGAAACGCCCATTCATTCATTCATTTTGACAAACTTTATGAAGAAGATCGCAGGAAATGACGACAGAAGAGCTAAAAAAGACTTTTCACACGGTGTCAGATTTTGGTTATTTTGGGGAGGTCGAGATAAATCATATTGTTTGGTGGATGCAGTTTGAACCAGAGTAGCAGCATGGAGGTCGGATCGTCACCAAAATAAATAAATAAGTGGTCCGAAAAAGCTTAATGACAAAAAAATACACATAGCCTTCCTCAGGCATTGTGTTTGTACCGGGGAAAGGAGACACCCCCTTGATGAGAAACTCTAAGAAATGATCGGGGAATCCTTCCGACTGGATCTGAATTATGTTTTTGTATTTGGTGGTTTGTGTCCCAGCTGTCGATCAGCTGTGCGCAGCGCACTGCAGCCTGTGCATCTCAACACCACCCCCCCTCCGCAACTAATGTGTTGTGTTATATTAGCTGTACAATTTACCACATATGGTGTTCTTAGTTTCCATACCTCCTGTGTTTTACGAGCGACTTATCAATTCTTCGCAAACGGCATAAAACATGATTAAACATGATAGTATATAAAACCATGCTCGTATACAACCTATAGAAATGCAAAACGGCGTCAGTTTAGACGTAATTCTGTCCTCCTGCTTACCGCATCATTTATGAGAAAACATTTCATAACATTAACACAATATATTCGAGGTGGTTTTAAATAACATATCCGTATTTATTTATTTCTCCAAGTTATGTTTTTGTGTGCACTGAGGAGTCTCAAAGAGGCGTTTGTTTACTGAATCATTTTAAGATTGGCTTTAATCAATGTTTGAAAATGAATTCTTCATATATGATAAATGAGAGGTAACATTTTATTTATGGTATTATTTCCACATATTTCTCTCCATTCTTCCTTCTGCCAACGGTATCGCAGTTTCTCGTCTCTCCCGTTTTTGTGCTTAGTGCGTACGCATGGGTTAGAGTTTGCGTGGAGGACCGCACGTTTTCCAGTCAAGTTAGTATTTTATAAATCGCAAACATTGCGTAGAAACTGCCGTACGCCATTTTTTGAGCGTATATCCCTTTATAAATGAGGCCCCTGGTCTAGGATTCCTCCAAACCCTCAAGGTGTGCAGATGTTTCAGAGTAACAGAAAGAGGTGGTCCTTTACCTCGGAGCCTGTGGCCTCCTGGATGGTGGGGTGGGCGCTCTCGGGGGCCCAGGAGATGCACTCCACCACATGTTCGTGTTCCCGCAGCTCGGCCTTGCAGTCTTTGGAGGCCACGGCCCACACACGCACCGTCTGGTCGTTGGAGCAGCTGGCGATCAGGGTGCCGTCCTGGTGGGGCCGCACCATGCGGACCCACTCCCTGTGGCCCGTGAAGGTCTTCACACAGTAGCTGAGCAACAGGAAAATAATTAGCATGTTGTCAGAGTGATTGATCGAACAGACCATCATCCCTTAAAAAAACAGTGGTTTTAGAGGGTTCTTACCCAGTTGCCACCTCCCACATTTTTATGGTTTTGTCCCTCGAGGCAGAAACAATGTGATCTCCATTGGGCATGATGGCTACAGACGAAACATTGTGGTCATGTCCTGGAAATCAGAAAATACAAAATCAAGTTCTGAGTAAGAGCCAGAACCATTCAAAAGCTTTCCGAGCAACCACACAACATTTAAAGCTACTGCAAAATGTCATGTATCATTTCAGATGGCAACGCCCACCTGTCCTTCTTTACTTTAAACAGAGAAATCACACTTCAAATGCAGCGACAATTTTACACGTCTTTAGACACCAACAGCGCCAAAAACGATGGGTTTGGTACAGTGGCGGTTCTAGAACATTTTATATGGGGTGGAAAAGGGGGGGCAAGAGGTCATGCCAGGGTGGGATGGGAGGGCGGACAGTACGTGGTATTTTATACTGTATATAACTTATTTATTGTTAATTCATGCCCTAACACTAGTGTTCTTAATGCACAAGAGAAACAAGGTGTTCAGACAAACAATCGGGTGCCCTTTGAGTCCCCCAAGCTTACTTCAATAATTGTAAATGAAAGGAAACTACAAAATGTTCTTCTTAATATTTAGTTTCAAGCTCTCGTCCTTAGTAAAAACAAAACTAGTGGAAGGGGAAATGCTCCCAGGGGAAGCTGATTCATAGGTGCTGGGACAGCTCGTTCCCTCTCTGCAGCTCTGTGAGCCGCGGTCTGTGTGAACGCCGCTCCGCAGTTTAATGCAGGGCCGTAGCTGCGTTTTTAACGGACCTAAAATGATATTTAAAATGATTCACTTTTAACTAATGTAATGCTTGTTTCGTTGCTTGAGAAGCTTGTGGAAATAGTGTAGGTTTGTTTTAGTACAGTTTTAGGGAAACAAAAGTTAGGGGGGCAGCTGGGGGGGCAAGGCTCTACAGTGGGGGGGGGCAGCTGCCGTAGATCCGCCCCTGGTTTGGTCGTAATTAGCCAATTAAACGAAAAGTGAGGCAGCCAATTTGCCGGGGCTTTCTTTGTTCCACTGAGAATAAGAGATGCCTAATTACTTAGACGCTGGGCCATATTTAAGCTGCTAAACATATGAAGACAACAGTAAGTGTACTCTAAAAGGCCACATGCCATCAGGCTACAACAAGGGATGGGAGCTACACAGAAAAGTGCTATCTGGTGCTGAAGACGATAATTCAACTGCTGCCCAAATCGGCACTAATCTACCTCACCAGTTAGCCTCATTTTATTTTAAAGATGAAAAAAAAATGTAAAAGAAAAAAGGAGGGATGGTTGATAAATTAAAGTGAATGGAGACAGACAAAGAGATCAGTTTAAACGAAGGCGATAGAAAGCGATCTCTGCATCAGATTTTCTTCCTACAGTGTGAACACAGCTCGTCTGTCTTGAGCGTGCCAGGAGCTCACACCCTGCTCCACAACAAAGAAAGACTGGCAAACGGTGAAATCTGTTGCTCACTTCCACAGAATGCAGGATTTACTACACCAGCATAAATGTAAGAATGTGCCAGAGTGCCTCCTGCCTGTTCGCTAAGTAGGCTTATTTATTTCACTCACATTCATTCATGTCTGATTCACAGTCAGACATTAATGGGCACTTCTAGCAGACTTATGAAGAGGCGAACAAAAAGCTTCATATTGTTGGGCTACGGCAGGCTGGTTAGTGGGGGGTCTTCTCACAATTTCAACAAGGAAAAAAATCTTTAAAATCTGCAGGGGCCTGGGGGCACATGTACACTGCTGCCATCATGTACTTGGCAATTAGGGTGTGCACATTGGGGGTGTTAGGAGAAGACAGTGAAGATATGACCATTGGTGTTGTAGATTCACGGATAAAAAATAGGCTTATTATCACTCTTGAACCAATCTCTTTTACAATTTAAATGATGTATTTTAGGAAGAGCTGGATCCAAGGGGAGCAGATTCAGCCTCATCGTCAGCATCAAATGTGATAATGGACGATATCTGCACCACCTGAGGCCCGTGTACATGACAAGCTACATTTATGATGCAATGACATGGAAACAGAGCATGTCACATACAGTAGGTAACAAACAGCAACACATGGTAGCAGCTGTGATGCATGGCTGCAAATTCCTGCTCATCGAATCGCCACAAAAGAACAGTTGCATGGGCATTTTTGGAGGAGCCTGTGAAGTTTTTCATTGCCATATCTATACTGTAGCTACTGTGCACATGACAATAAAGCCTTGAATCTTCCTACCATGCATGGTCCTGATGCACTCGAAGCCTTGGAAGTCCCACAGCTTGATAGTCATGTCTGCAGAGCAGGAGGCTAGCAGTTTGCCGGTCTGGTCAAAAGAGATGTCCTGCACTGAATCCGTGTGGCCCTTCAGTGTGCGTTCGAAGTCCCCTGTCTCGTAGTCCCAAACCTGGAGAAGTGAACATATCATACATCAGGTTTACAGACACCTATGTGTAAGCTAACATTGATCATTCACTAACAGGCAGAGCTAAAATAATGAAGAAGAAACACAAGGGTTGTTTATTCCAAACTGGATCCCTTTCAAAACCCCAGCTAAGACCCCAAATGTCACAACATCTGTGGCTGCATGTCTCCTGCTTCTCAGCTGAACAATCAAGCAGCCAATAAGCTGAGAAAAGAACCAAGCTGTCCAGATAAGTCATATTACAATCCCATAAAAGACACACACACAGGTATCAGTTTGCAGACACCACACACTCTTTAAATATTGAGTTACAAAGTCGGTGACGTGTTGCTGTTGCTAATGGCAGGAATGCATGAGACAGGGTTAGGGTTACAGTTAGGCGTGTGTGGCAGTGCCAGGAGTACGAACACAATATGCAGAGTAAGCCTCCTTTTCTAGCCTGAGAAAGCGGTTAGGTTTAGGGATCTCAAACAGACAGACGGCTTGTCACTGAGGGATAACCCCTCCTTGGTTCCTCTCTTGGGGTGGGGGATTTTGGGCAGACGGTGACAGGAGACCCTCTGCCCCGCCTCCCCCCCAAAGGAAGCTACAGACTGTGCAGATGGCTGCGAGGTACAAAGTGCAGAGGGGGGGGGTTGATCCTGGAGAGCATCAATGCAGTAGACGTGCGAAGGTTTACCCACATTAAACAGTATTTAGCAGCAGCATCCAAAACACACATAATCCTTGAACTACCTGTAACTGGATGCTGTGTCACTGGCACTCCTCCAGGGTATCATTGAAGCCCTATTTCACGATTATTAATGGTTTACATTCTTTCAGAGAAAATGCCAAAAAAAAACACAAAGACTTTTTGTATTTTCCATTTGTGAAGTAAGCAGTTAGGAAGCTGACACCCAAGCTCTTAACCTATCTTCTGGTTGACATGTCTGAGTCAGCAACCTGCTGATTTCCATACTAGGAAGAGATACCAGCTGAACTGAAGGTAACATATTGCAAAGCAAAGATCTGCCACGTAAGCAGAGAAAAGAGGACGAGGGCAAAAAGGGGGAGCTTTGGAAACAAACGGTGGCAAAGCTTAAAGAGCGAGGGTCAACTTTAACACAGGAATAAGCAAGAAAGGGTTAAATCAAATAATGGTTTGACTCTGGAAAACAAAACATGTGACACTTGAGACCTTACATAAATAAGGTAAAAGACAGGCAGCCTTTAGCCTTGTTACAGACCTCTGACCTGCATCGTATGTTTGTTCAGGGATCGAGAAAGCAAACCTTATTTTTCTGCAAAGCGTGCTAGCAAGTTAGCTACTCTACGCTCATGAGCTACATCAAGTAGTGGCTGAGCATGTTGTTTTCAGCATACAGGAAAAACAAATCAAACCCTTTCTTGGCCGTTATGCTATCCAGCTGCCGATATCAATGTTCTCATTGAACTAAGGACAACAAAGCCAATAAGTGTTTTGCGCAATGTCAAACTACTTTCTCAAGTTCACTGCTCTAGGACAAGAAACAAGTCTAAAAGGAGCACAATGTCAGGCTGAATGAATTCAATGAAACAAAATGGCTGTTCAGTCTGATCAGGCAAGGCACCCTCACAGGCACGGAGATGGAGAGCCGATGAGCCTCTCAGCCAGCGACAGACTGAAGAGCACAAGGTTCGCTCCTTCAAAATTGAACAGAGCTGCTCAGGAGCAGAGAAGTAGGACAGTCCGGCCCGGCCACAGAGAAACGAGGCAGCCAGGGAGAGAGGTGCGAGGAAGCAGGGCTGAATTTTTTATTTGAGCCCAGTCCTGCCTCCTCCTCCTGCGGGATAGATGGCACTGACGATGGGTAGCCATGGTGGGGCAGCTGAGGCTTTAAGTGGAAGATAAATGAGGCAGGATGTTGGGAGGCAGGGTTGCAGGGGGAGGGAGGGAGGGGTGGGGTGGGGTTGGAAAAGGAAGATGATGCCAAAACTGAGAGAAGATCCCTGCTGGGTGGGTGTAACCGAGGAGATGTACATGTGTCTCTCATTGTCTCATGAATAAAATATACAGAACAAACAGCGCTACAGAGTATTGGCATTGTGCAGTGAGGCATGGGAGAGCTGCAGAAATAGCCTAGGGACAGACCATAGAGTTTATATAGGGATCTAGGGATACATAGAGAGAAATGGTATCAGGGCGTGTCTAGGAGCTACAGCAGTGGCGGTAAAGCTCCAGCGCGAGGCATAAATGATGAAGGAGGAAGAGAGGTGCAGCGTTAAAGAGAGAGAGAAGACGACTGTGTGCAAGAGATGCCACCAACCTGGCACTAAATTAAAAAAAGAACACACTGTTGATTTTCAAACTGAATCCTATTATAGTGTGGAAGAAGTTGTGAAAACAAACAAACAAGGAGTACACTGCCGTCTCTAATGTGTTTATTTTCACTGACCACACCCTGTCTGACTTCATCTTTAATTGGCCTATGTTCAATGATGATCTTATGGCGCATTTACACTGCAGGCCTCGCTCGGCCTCGCTCGGTTTGGTTAGGCCTTATTAGGCCCGGCTCACTTTAATGCTGCGCTCACATTACAGTTTAGGAACTGGGCTAGTATCTATAGTAACGCAGTGTAGGCGGAGCCGTGACGTCATCTTCAATGAGCTCCCCAGAAAAACAACACAGCCGTTAGCTCTTAGCACTCAGAGCTCACAGCTCTTCATATCTGTTCAGAAACTAGACAAAAGTTAAACAAGTACAAACCACATACTGTCTGTGTCATGGCGAATACAGTCGCTGGTTTATTTATGTCTGTATAGGCCGTTGTTGTGAGTGTGGACGGTCGGAGCATATACAACGTTAGCTTAGCCAAGCTCCATTTAGAAAACACGCATTTTAAAAGGTTTTTCGCCTGCCGTCTGTCTGCAGACTTGTCAAAGCATTAATTCATGGTTTTTACTAACCGGTATCAGTAT